CATTAAAGCTGTAACCTATGGTAATAATCTTTCTAGCATTGTTTAATGGCATGATGTTTTGTTCATTTACTCAAATCACTCAGGATTTTCTAGCCAATAAGCTTAGGGAATTCTTAAATAATTCATACCGCTATTAATTTTTTTACAAGCTTACAAATTCAATTTAGTTTTATTTCACTATGAAAAAAATTATCATTATGTTTCTTAGTTTTTTGGGGGGCCGTGCTTTGAACCTAGGACCTTGTACATGCTAGAGAGTGTTCTAGCACCAATTTACATTGCTAGTCCTATATCTCAATATTATTTAAATTATTAATTCTATGAATCAAAAATTTTTAAGAATAACCAGACTGAAAGGCAAGAAAGTGGACTATCTGATATCTAATGGTTACTTCCAGTCCTGTAATAGTGTAAATCTGTGTGAGTTGCTTTTTTCTGGATATCTTTCCATACCCATAATTCCTAAGGAGTGCAGTTAAGGTGTACATTAGAGCCTTGTGTGTAAATATGTTCTTATGAGTAAGAATCAGCAGTAAAGATATTTGGCTAAGTATGTCACTTAGCATGGTTTTTTTTTTTTTTTAGCATGGTTTTAATATATATCACTATTTATACTTGCCAAAATTTGAAATTTTTAAGTACTTAATTTTTAGACTCCCATTTTATATTTGTATTTTTAACATCAAAGTTACTGTGTTGGAGAAGAAACATGCACTGTTCTGACGTATGCATTAGAATTGGTTAATTTTTAAAAAAAGAGCTAATTTTTAAACCAAAAAATTTTACAAGGTATTTTTTCAATAATTTTGGAAATGTGCTTTCTCATAGAAACTGTTAAGAGTTGCAGATTTTCAAGATAATCCAGAAAAAAGTAATTTAAATAATGTGTTTTAAAAGTAGCACTGATCCTTCTACTGTATTTCGTTTATAACTTGCTCCTTTAAATTTTATTTTTAACACATTTTTTGAATTTCAGAGTTAATTCCTGGAATTTCTGCTTTCTGAAAACTTTGTAGGCTCATGGTGTGGCAGAGCTGGACCAAGGTATAGACTCTGATCTTTGCAAGTAACTTTCTATCTGAGTGGAAGATCCCTTCTTATGCATCCTTATTTCAAAAAATGGTTACATTCAGAAGAACCCCAGTATTCTTTAGGGGTGCTGAGGCCTTGCTTTCAGTAGAACAACTTGATTTTTACTTGTGCAGTATGCTGGGATTTGCCCATGTTTACATCCACTTAGTTATTAGCTTGGTCATAAAGAGGCCCTTGCCTAAGCCTCTGCATTACGTCTGCCATAACTCATTTTGGAACCTTGAGTATGTTACTTCATCCTTCTGTGTTTTGTTTTCTTATTTGTAAAATAGAGATAATGAAGGTCCCTACTTCATAGGGCTTTTGTGAGAATTAAATGAAACAATGAATGTTTATTATTTAGAATAGCAGTTAGTGTCTAATAAGTAAGTGCATGAAACCTTGTATTTGAATGGTTAAATCTGTATTAGAACTAGCATCATATGCTAAAGTTGAGCTCTTACCATTATTGAATTATATTGTTGAACTAAACTGAGGTAATGAAAGCAGTGGAATGAATTGAGAAATAGGGGCTAAAAGAAAAGATCTACTGCATCTCTTTGAAAGGGCATCTCATAAACTCAAATAATGAACGTTACTTGTGAAAGATAATAAAAATAAGGTTTAAAAAGGAGGTTGTTTTGTGTGTCGTTCAATGGTAAGGACTACAGGGTGTTACTAAAAGGAAGTTTATATAAACCTGTTCTAACAAGGGTTGTTTCAGAAAGTATGAAAATAGAAGGATCTTCCTGGAAACCTATATGAAAATTGATCAAGTGATTAGAAACTCATGTGACTCTTAATATTAGTTATACAGAATAGTTTTAAGTGTTTATGAGTTTGACCTAAAAATAGCCTAATGATAGAGAACAAGTAATTATCAAATTACAAAATACACTATTTGAAGGGTATGAATTAAAATTATAACTTTAGGGGCTGGGGATTTAGCTCAGCGGCAAAAGCGCCTGCCTGGCAAGCGCAAGGTCGTGAGTTCGGTTCCCGGTACCGGAGAAAAAACAAAAATAAAATAAAATAAAATAAAATAAAAATAAAATTATAACTTTAATCTTGAGATCTTTAAAATATAGTTTTGCTTGCCAAAATAATTAATATTTTATAATAAATTACTTAAAATGTTATTTTATGCAAACATAAACCATGACTTGTTATTTCCTTGAATGTTTATTTTAGCCCTAAAGGGTACTGCTAAACACTGAGAATGCTATGGTATTCAAAATTTTAATGGCACAAATTACTTGTGGCAAAAGTAGTTAAATGTACAGGTAGAAAGGAAGGAGTCCTTATAAAAAATGCACCTAAACATAATTACCATCAAAACAGTTATCTGGAATTACTTTTTATTGGTACATTTTTGCAGTATATGTTTTCATTACTGTGGAGTAGATACATGTGTATAACACATGTACATAAATCCTTTCTCCTCCTCTGTCCCTCCCCTCCAGATCTCCCTGTCTCTCAATCCCCTTCCTATTTGAGAAAGATGTATCTCCCTACTTCCTGTTATCAGTCTTACTTACTTGCTTTTTATTTATAATTTCTCATGTAAGAGAAAACATGCAATATTTAAACTTACGAGTTGAGTTTGTCTCATTTAACATTATGGTCTCAAAGTACAGCCACTTTCCTACAAATGACTCAAATTTGTCTTTCTTTATGGCAGAGAAGTCATTGTTTTTATTGGTCATCTGCTGATGACCCAGAAGGGCAATGGTATTATTTTAAAGATACAGTTGAAGTAATGGAAAGAATGGATGTTATAACAGATTTTTAGAAATTGAAATTTTAGTCAGTTCAGAGAACCAATGGAAGAGATGAAGCCAGATTCAGCAAAGGATCTAAAGACACTGGCTACTTCTACAATGAAAATTACAATCCTGCAAAGTGTGCGAGTAGGATTCTGAACCAACCAATGATTTAAGAACATTTAACCTATAACCGTAGAGAACCAGCTTCCAAAAATATAAAATTACTAAAGAATTCTTAGAGCCAACATGACTTCTAAAATTTATACTTTTAGGGTAAGTAAATGATACGTTCAGCTGTCTGTTTTAATGACATCATACCAATGGGATTTTATAGGTGAGGAAGAACTGAGGTAAACTAAGGAACTAAAGGACATGGCTGAAGTTGACTAGTTATTGTCAGGTTAGATGTGATTATGATGATTTTCAAAATAATACTGTTTCTGTGTTGCACATTCTCACTGTACGTTTATTATGCCCCTTCGCCCTTTGGTGGTGGTGGGGATTGAACCCAGGACCTCCCATATGTTAAACATATGCTCTAATGAGCTACATCTCCTGTCCTTTTTCTATATTTTAACAATAATTTTGCCTTGAATTTTCTTTTAATTTTCACTTAGGAAGACAAAGCAATTTCGTAGAAATTACTTTTTATGCTGCCTGTGACTTGTTAAAAAGAGAACTGAATCAAGTATGTGATGAAAGTAGACTAACACGTAAGCAAAGCAAAGCAAGAGCTATGAGAAGACCACAGTTAATAATGTGTCATCTAATAATGTATGTAGTAGTGTGACATGTCTTAGCTATGTACCTTTACTGTATCCACATAGTTGCTTTATAATTTCTGGAGAGGTGATTTGTAAAGAATAATCTAAAGTCTTTTAACATAGTATAAATTTTAAATTTTGAGGTTTTTTTTTCCAATAGGAAATCAAACTATACATAAGACATTGTTAGTCAAATTTGCTTTAAAAATGTGTGCTCCAAGATCAAATGGATTCTTTTATAATACCCACTTAGGAGTGGCAGCAACTTCCTTCTCCCTTACCCTATCTCTGAAGAAAAAAACCCCAGTTTTTTAGAGAAGAATTCTTTCAGTAGGCACAGAGTAGAACTGTGTTGCTCATCATGAAGGACTGCACGAGACACAAAGGAGGGAAGGAACTGAGTGACAAGATGCTTTGGATGAGAGAGTTTGGATGGTTTAAAGGAGTGAGACACTCACACTGCTTCGGGGGTCCTAGAAAATAAGGCAATCACCATACGCCATAGTTGCTCTGTGATTGGCTTAGATACCACTACCTCCAGTCACTGTACTCACATCTTGCTTGAGTTAAAAGTGACAATATCAGCTACCCACATATCTTTACATGTGATTCTGATTAGAGTGTGGGCATAGGAATATGATTTTATGAGTTTAAGATTGCTTGCGTTTCATTTAATTAAAACAGTAATTGAAACACCAAAATGATGACATTTTGTTGCCTTTTTTATGTCTGACTGTTATAGTCATTAAATCTCAGCTAAAATATTATTTTCACTGAGACAAGTTATATAATATGCTACTTTTTATCTAAGATGAGAGTATGTTATATATACTTTCTGTATATATGTTTGTGTTTATGAAAATACTTATACTTACACATTTAATATATTAAGAAATAAGGGAAGAATGGATCATAAAATGTCAAATAATTCTCTAAAGTGATTATACCATCTTCTACTACAATGTATTAGAGTTTCTCTTTTTTTTTTTTTTGACAGTTTCATCTGCTCCATATCTGAGTCATTTGGTGGTGTTCGTCCTTTGTATTTTACTATTCTGAGTGTGAAATGTTATCTGTAGTGGTTTTAATTTGCATTATATTATTTGAGCTATTTTTCATATAACTGTTTGCTGTTCTTATATCCTGCTTTGTAAAGTATATAGTCACTGTTTTTTCCCACTGGGAGTTATTAGCCTTTTATTTTGGATATGTAGGAGCTTGTGTATATCCTTACTATATCTTTTTCCGGTAACTATTGTCTTGCTTCTGTTTAGTGAGAGATATTAATACTGTTAGCATTTTTAAACCATTGGCAGTTTTAGAGGCAAAGTAATATTTAAAATACAGACTTCAAACTTTTAAATTTAAGACAAAAATTGCATTCTATTTTTTATTTTAGGTGCAGTTAAAAACTAACATTTCCAGTCAGTATGTAATTCGGATGCAACCGACTAATAGGTGCCTTTCTACACTGGAGTGTGCAGCTGTTGCTCTTTCTATTTTGGAGAAAAATAATTACATACAGGAGGTACGTGGAAGATCAGTTTTTTCGAGTAGAAGTTTGGTTAGTTTTCATTTAGAAAATGTAGACGTGCTTATCTTGTTAGATTTGTACCTCAAGCGACAAGTAGGATATATCTGATAGAAATTTATGTACTCTATAATCCTCTTTCTCTCTGGTGTTTTCTGTGTTGCCTTAGCATTCCAGACTGCATTATTTACATATTCATACTAAGCTTTGCAAACAGCGTTTATACTATGTAAATTGCATTTAAGTAGCATGACATTAAATCAGTTTTTGGTTGTATTTTTCTTTTAGTGTTTTTCTTTTTTTAGTAGTTTTTCTCTTGCATTCAACTTTTTTCTTTTTAATTAAGAGAACAAAACACAGCAACATTTTTATCATTGTTGCCTTTATTTGAGGAGCTATACTAATGTTCAGTTTATCTTATTAAACTTGTGTAGTATGTAAAAAAGATACTTTTAAAAAAGAGAAATACCTACAGAATATGGAAAGGTTATAATCTACAATCATCTTTCTATATAATTTTCATGAAAGTCTGAATAATTGCATATATAATATATGCATATATAATGTAATAATTGCATATATAATTAATAATCATCAGCACAGAATAATATTTCAGTGAGCTTGCTAATGATCTTTAGGAACATATAAGACATTGTGCATTTATAGCAGCAGAACAATAGTTAAACAAATGTTAAGAGTTTTAAATAATTAAAATATTTTAATAACTACAACTGAGGAAGAAAAGTCAGAGCATAGTTAACATAACTAAATGAAATTTTTAGCTTCCCTTCCAGAACATACACAACACACACACACACATACACACACTCACACACAGGACATATATATGCCCCACAACACGTGAATAAAGTACTAAGTTTTCCTGCTTTCTTCCTCCCTCTCTCATTATTAATTATGATTACTACTGTAAGATTTTGCTAAGCCATGGTAGAAATTTCAATTATGGGTAAAAGTTCAGTTACAATAACTGGATTAGTTACCAGGCTATTAATCCTAAAGAGAATAAAAAGCTTTCAAGAACCACGAGTGTCCAAAGTGTCAGAAGCGAGCATCTAATTGTCTTTTCTTCTCCCTGATCCTGAGCTGTGATTAAGTGTTGGAGTTCCAGACTTTTTTTCTTTTGAAAGAAATAGACTTTCACAAACATCCCTTTTTGGAATATGTATGTGCGTGAGTAGACGTTATTTTGGGCCTAGGCAATTTTACATTCATTTGAGGAAAAAGTTCACCATGGAACCTAGTTCCTTACCCTAAGGTTTTAGGGTTGTTTTGACTCTTCTCTTCCTTTAGTCTTATCGCCTACTCATCTGGATGCAGCCATCAGTGGGGTATTTTACATTCCCCTGCACTTGTTTTTGTTTATTCAACATCATCTCTTTATGTTCTTGAGCAAAATAAAAAATACACTCTTTGTAGGCGTATTAACAGAAGATGGCCCCTAGTGCTGTGTGTAAAGTTGCTTTCTGTTCAGTCTGTTTTCCTGTTCATTTATGTAAAAATCTAGGAGCAGACAACATGAGACCAAGGACTTATTAAAAGCTCAGCTCTTCAGGGAAAAGTATTTTCTTTGGCTGTGGTTTTAAAACTTCTTTCCTGTTTGGGGGTCTGAAGAAAATTCTCTGTGGACTACATCTCCTGTTTCCATAGCAGGAACTAGATCTTTACTGCAATCCTAAATGGAAGCTTCAGTGTTGGTAATGATGGTAGTTATAGTACTAATAGCATAGTAAAACAAGATAAGAGATAGGGGAAGGGATAGGGTTTATACCACTACCACTAATGCTGCTGCTGCTGCTCCCCACCTTCCCAGTTTTATTCTGATACTAATTAATGTACCATCATGGCAGGAATCTTATTAGCCAAGAATGTTTTAGTGTCTGTTTTACAACTACTCTATATTCTACAAGTGTCTATGATGATTTCTTTCAAAATAGTAAGGAATTTTTTTCAGAAAAAATATAACATTAGATACTTAGGACAACCTTAATATTTTTAAAGTTTCTTCTCTATCATCTTATCATTATTTTCATCTTTTACTATATTACTGCTTGATGTAACTAAAAGCATTTACTGGAACATAAAGCTAAATCCTGACCCTTTCTCTTAATGGATTAGATGTGCTTTGTAATGTGATGTTCTACAAACAAAAAAGGGATTCTTACCATGCAACGTGATACTTGCAAAACATTTTATATTCTAAGAGTAATACCTAAGAACAAGCAAAGTTTAAGACATAGAATAGTGACAAGCCTTATCGTCTCTTCAGCCGTGGTTACTGTAAATGTCAAAGTAATAGTGATCACCTAGCATGCTCATTCTGTTTACTTTGTTCTCTAGTAGTAATCTCACTCTAGTGGCCAGCAATAGAAAAACCAAGATTGAAAATCTTATCTGATTTGAGATGCTGGTAAGTCAGTTTGTGGGAATGTAAGCAGAGGAAATATGTAATGAAATATCTCATTGCTGATTATTACAGATGGCAAAAGTTGACTACTAATTTATAATAGAAGTTGCTTTCTAAAGAGGGGAGCTCTCAGTTCAACCCCATCAAGTCTACTTTCAATAAAAAAATTAGCATGTTTCTGTGTGCTGTAAACTTCGGTGTTGTTTTCGGTTTTTGGGGAAGAAAGGTATAATACACATTTCCCCTCAGTAACCTTTTATTGGGACAATTCTAGCAGAATTTTAGGATGGTAGAGGAGAGCAGTACATTTTCATGGCTTCATTCTGTCAGCTTGGCATTGAACAACTTTGTTAGTCTTTTGATTCACTCCCTTCATTTATTCTAGAGAAGTTTTCAGTTGTCTGGAGTTAGCATGTTATAAATCATAGACCATAGCTTCCTGGAAGTGGCATGATGTAGGCTTTAAAAAAGCTTGAATTATAGCTTCATCACTTTGTCATCATCACCCTTTGCATCTGTGCTTGTTTTTCTACCTGTATTATACAAAAAATAGTCACCTCAGTATTGCAGGCTCTGAGTAGCCAGGTGTGATAGTGCACACCTGTACTCCAGCTACTTGGAAGGCTGAGGTAGGAGGGTTGCATGCTCAAGGCCAAGACCAACCAAGGCAGAGTACCAAGGTCTTGTCTCAGAATGAAAAATAAAAAGGGCTGGAGATGTAGCTCAGTGGTAGAGTACCACTAGGTTCAATCCCCCAGTACCACTGGGAAAAGAAAAGAATTGCATGAGATAATGTGTGTTAATTGTCACAGTTGTCAACACAGACACTGAAAAGTTAAACTTTTTCTCCTTCTTTGCCCCTCTTATTCATGCCTGTAGATTGACAAAAGAATTTTTGAAATAAACATTGATGATTTTCATTTATCTACTATAATATGTACTGTGACTTTTTATACATCTGGAGGCTTCAGCTTGGGGATCTTTTTCATTACATGACCTCATCCATGGAGGTAGTTTTACTTTATAAACTTCTGAAGGTAGTTGTGGAAAAGGTTTTCAGCCAGGGGCTGGGGATTTAGCTCAGCGGCAAAGTGCCTGCCTGGCAAGTGCAAGGTCATGAGTTCGGTTCCCGGTACCGGAGAAAAACCAAAAAAAAAAAAAAAAGAAAAGGTTTTCAGCCAAACATAGCCCTGTAACTTGGCTCAACCTGATATCAAGGCCTGGTAGTAATGGCCCCTGAAATCTGATCTCTTTGCACATGTCCATGAAAGGACTTATGAAGTACTGGTTTTTCCCAAAATTACCATTTAGGAAAAAAACTTATTTTACAAGTAGAGGGTTTTCCTTGTTCCCCTAAGGGAATCTTTTCTTTTTCATTGCCTTTGATGTGCTTTTTGTTCTCGTAGAAACATTTCACTTGTTATCTAGTAGTATGTTCAACACTGTCAGTGTACAGATGAAGAAAATGAGACAAGATCTTATGTTACTTATCCAGAGTTTATGTCTAGTAAATCAGATAGCATCAGTTAAGATAGGCTAGGTTAGACTTAAAGTGGCATAACATGGCAAAGGGCTATTCCTCTCCCATGTTGTCTGACCAGCGGGATTGCTCATTGTAGTCATTAAAGGACCCAGCTTGGTGGAGAAAATATCTAGACACATCGCTCTACTTTCACAAGGGAGAGGCAGGGAAGGTGGTGAAGCCTAGAGCTTTTTTAAGGCTTCCATCCAAAGGTGGCACACACTATTCATGCTTGCATTTCATTAAGCAAAGCAAGTTAATGGCCATGCCTATCTTCAAAGGCTGATTGAAAATGCAATCCGATCATGCCTAAGGAGAACAGACTTATTTATTAATAGCCATGACTGTTCTGCTTTATCAATTGCACTGGATTAAGAAAGGCCCAGTGAGATTAACAGAGCAGCTCCCTGGCTTTGGGTTCCACCTGTGTATGGTCCCAGCCAGTCCCTCCCTGGCATGGTTGTCCTGCTGTGCTTCCTGGCCACCATGAACTAAGCACTTTGGTCTGCCATGCCCTCCTGCTGCACTGTTTCTGCCTTGGAACCAGCCGACTGTGAACATAGCCTTCCCAGACCATGAGCTACATTAAGATGTGAGTGTTGTATGTGTCCAGCAATGGGGAAACCAACTAATAAATACGTTACCAAGATGACTGTCATATAGAAGAAAGGGGACCTAATCCAGATCTCTGCATCTCCACAATTCCTTCTCAGTACATCAGTAAATCGAGAGTATCATATCTTGGGAACATAGAAGTTGAAGGCCCTTGACCATAAGGATACTAGCATTCTCCTACCCCTGAAAACCTAATAGATGTCATAAACTCTCAGTAGAGGCTTTTGTTGTTTCAGTCTCTGTGTAGTCTCAGGTAAATTTCCTAGGTACTGAATATTTCATAGTCCAGTTTGTCCACTGGGTTGTCTCTATAGAGTAATGTATAGTCATTTTTCCTTTTCCTTTTCTGTTTTTTTTTTTTTTAAAGAAATTATGAGAGTATGTCTAAGGGGCTTTTCACTACAATATGGTATAGAATTTTTGCAAGATATCTTTTTCTTTATTGGTATATACTGATTTGGAATGTCTGACTGCATGAAAACAGCCCTTACTGCAGTAGTGAAGTCAAATGAGAGTTTCTTTTTCTTCTCTGAATTAGACATGCTGAGGTGGGCAGTCCTTTGCTTGCAGTGCCACTTGGAAAGGGCATTGTGGATTCCTTCTGTCTTCCTGTGCATCGTCTTTTGTTTATTGCGTAGTGGTCACTTGTTGCTTGTCCCACCTCAACAGTCATGTTCTAGGTAGGAAGAAGGAACAAAATGCCTGTGTCTGCTAAATCTGTCAGCTTTTAAAGAGCACCTTTGGAAGCCCCACCCAGGGACTTACTACCTTCAGTAGACTGTGTCCTTTAGTCAGTGTGATGGTACTAACTGGATAGATTGCCACCTTGAGTGAAATTTGGATTCTTTTAGTAAGAAAATAATGGATGTCAAGAAGCAACTACAAGTTCATTGTAAATTAAAGCCTTTTCTACCACTTACAGTTCTATGTAGAAGAATAAATTTTCACACAGACATTGTGAAATTTTTGTAGTTAAATCTTTCTTTTATGTTTTGTTAACAATCTGTTCAATCATGCTTTTTTTGCTATTATTATTTAAAAGATTTGGATCAGGAGTCTAAAGTCCAAGGAGAGAATCAGACTTAAAATGTTTTAAAAATTGGCATAGTTTTTTACAATTTAACTTTAGATAGAATATGTAAAATAGTTGCATTATACCCTCCAACATTCTTTGTTACCTTACAGGTTTACTCAGTTTGCGTTTATGTTACATGCTTGGCCCTGTAGGTATTGAATTCAGACAGGCACATACGTAGTTAGAGTAATTTCAGTGCCCAAAGACCTGGGCCTCTGTGGATGGACATGGACTATGTGACACCAATAGTCAGCCACTTGACATTGCCATCGTTTGTGTTCAGGTGTGCCAGTATGATTGCACTAGTTTGCGGTTGACACTGAATTAGCTCTTAGGATGTGCTTATTATCATTGTATATAGTTATTTCTTTTAGTCTGCTTGCAACAGAGTAAATTATTATAGTGGCAACAATATTTCATTGTGTTTGAATAAAGTGTAAAATTTAGTTCAGACTTTCCTAGCTATATAGGAAATGAGTTTTTGTATTCTTTTACTAAAATTTCTTAGTGATAGGGAACTTAGGAATTTAAAAAAATTATTTATTTAGAAGCAACATAAAAGTGTTTAAATATTTATTGATTTTATAGTTAAAAGCCAATAGCAGTGAAAAACACAATAATCTCTGTCTTTGAAGAAAAATATACAATATTATGCTCTTTCACAAGTGCTTTTCTAGTGCTCTTGTTTTTCTTCACAGACTTTGCTTCGTCCCCTTCAAGCTTTGTGCTCTTTCCAGCTTCAGCACGGTGCTCAGATTCGCCTCAGCAAGGAACACCTTCTGAGAAACGGGTTATACCCCAAGCCAATGCCAAAGAACAGACGCAAGCTCAGGAAAATAGAACTCCTTATGAATAGTGTTAAAATTTAGTGCAGCTATTCTTCTGGTGCTAATTTAGCTGTTACAGCTGAAGATGCCACGTTAAATTTTCATCAGGTTTAAGTTGTGGGCTTTTGACTTTCTAAAAAAGCATGAGGATTGCTACTAATCTTGTTCAGAAGAAGGAAGAAAAGCAAATAGCCATAAAAACAAAACAAAACAAAACCTTCTCTGACTCAGTGAAAAGCAAGATTTCATACTGTATTTATTTTCAAAAAATATGCCTCTAATACATTTTTTTCTGATCCATAATTTAAAATATAATTAGTTGCTGAGCTAGGGTAAGGAGCCCTCATATATAAAATGGAAAGAGATTGTGCCTGATTGGAACAGTATTGTTTCCATTAATGTGTGCGAATAACTAGTTGTAGTCTAATAATAGTATCCTGCATCAATTTGTAATCTTGTACATGAACTTTATAGTTTGAAATAAGTAGCAAAAGAAAATAATGGTAATTAAGGGGTTTAGATAGTTGTTTATTTCATAAAATAGTGTAAAGTAAAAAAATAAGTATTCTTTGGGTATTAAATGAGCTCAATAGTTTATTTACATTTTCTGTTAATTGCCTGAATATTACAAAGAAGTGCATGTTATTTTAAAATAGTATACATTTTTGTTTAAAATCACTCTGGATAAGTTCTGATTTTTCAATGTTAATTGAACAGGTTTTGTGGTAAACTGATTTTATTGTAGTTTTCATATGGAAATAGCTATAGTAGACTAGAATATAATGCAGTTGTTATTTTGAGAACATATTTCTGTAACTAGAGCTACTTAAATCTTTTTTAATGGGCAAAGCCCTTCAACTTGAAAGAAAAATTTCCCATATACGCACTGGGAAATATTTACTGGGATTTTGTATGGAATAAGAGAAATATATGTAATGTATATTTACATATAAAAATTAAACCTATTATAGTTAGGTACATATTTTAGCAAGAAGGAGAAATTTGTTTTGGTCTTTGTGACTTCCAGAATACCTTGCATCTAGTGTTAAGCTGGAAGGAAAGGCTAACCGTGCAGCCTAATGGTGAGCATGATACGTACTGCTTGTGAGAGAGGGGAGGCAGGGTATGTGAACATGTGTCAGTAGTGGGTTCTGACAATTTTCATGTCCATTTATTTGTTTTTTTTTTTTTAACCTAGATTAGATCCTTATTAGACCTTATAATCATGGGTGACAATTGGAATGCTAATTTGTGCAGGAAAACTATGCAGAAAATATTTTAAAATATTAAACAAAAATTAGATTTCTATCTTTCATTACTAATTTATTTTTGGATTTAAAAACAGATTAGGTGATTTGTAATCTAAAATACCTAATGTCAAATGATTTTTTGGTGTAATAAAAAGAAACTGTATAATAATGGATAATGCTTTCTTAACAAGTGGATTAAAGTCCTTGCAATAATGTTATGTTGAAATTAAACTTCACAAATTTTCATTTATATTTCAAAACCTCGGTTTGTCTTACCTTTTTTTAAAGATTGACGGTAAATATTTTGCCTTGTATCTTAACATGATGTCAAAGACACAATGAGCAAACACACACACAAAAAGCAAAAAGCCAATTCTTTGAGGGCCAAATGTTATAGGGGAAAGAAAATTCCAACCTGCTCGCTGCCCGGTACAAGTTTTGTGTTTTCTAAAATTGAAGAATGAATTCTAGAACCAATGGAGGTTAAGAGTAGAATCTACTGGGGAAAGAAAGCTTCTGACTAAGAGAAACTGAAGGGGTCCTGAGTGGATTGCCCTGTCTCGCCTATTTTAGAATAACTTCTACTTAGGTCTTATAAATACATTTGAAAGTATTTTTGAACACTTAAAAAGTTTAAGATATATTGTTTTGGGAAATGTATGAAATTTTCTTTAAGAAAGCATGTATTTCCAAATTATTTTATGTTTAATTTTATTTATTTCTACTGATCTATTAATAGTTAATCGCATTTAATCTTTTCTGGTATACAATGCTTTCTAGTCACCTGTTCTTTTAAAGTGTATTATGATTAATATTTTTAGTTACTAAAAGTTCTCAAATTATATAATATGTGAGTTTTTTTTACTAAAAATTTAAGCTGGTTTTAAAAAATTGTTACTTTTCTATTATAGTATATAGTTGGCTTTGAAATTCAGGTACTTTTATCTCTGCTTGATTTTTTCCTGGATTAGCTTCCGGTGTTTGATTTGTAGCTGATAGCAGGCTTCACGTGTAGATTGTTAACTGCATTTTGTTGTATTATGATTGTTTAAGGAGTTACTTGAATCATGTGAACTCAGAGAATGGTTATTTGTACATACACAGGGTAACCACATGTTCAGTCAGACCATTCATGGTAGGTTTAAAATCATTAGGTAGCTTAAGAGATGCAAAATTATTTTGGAATTTCTCACACATATGTTAATATAGAATTGAGAACTGCAGTATACAAAATAAGTCATAGTGCCAACTTTCTATTACTTGGGTTACAATATATCTTATGTCGAATTTGAGAGTTCTGTTAGGACAAGTCTCTTCCTGTACTTTATGGCTCCTATGACCACCATGTTTTAGAAATTTTGGAAGAAAAAGGCTCCTTACTACCATTGTTAGTGAATTATGCAGATTACTTCTGTATAACTTTTTTTGTTTCTTCATTAAATTTGCTAGATTTCAGGGAACTAAATTGTTGACCCTTGGATGCAGTTATTATTGAAATAAATTTTATTGGTGTTACAAGTAAAAAGTAGGTCAGACTAGTAAACTTGAAAGTTTTACCTAACCATATACAGTATACAGATGTATTCCTCTAAAATAGGAGTGAATAGATATTTGTATAAATAAGTAATACTATGTTTTAGATGTAGTGAGATTTTACATTTAATTATGTATCATAAACAGGCTTGTTTTCATATGAATCACTGCTTCTTAGTTTGTTCAGTCTGAATTTTTATTTGCTGGATTGTTTAAAGTATATTATCCCTCCTCAACCTTCTTTTTCCTGGGCTGCTTCTCTCTCTTGCATCACCTTCGTGTTTCCTTTCCCTTTTTACAGTGCTTACTCTGTTACCTCTTCTGTGAATTATTCATGTATCCTTGCATAAGCATTTTTTTTCCCACAACATCCTATAATCTAAACAAATTACAACTTTATACTTAAAATGTGTTCAGCAATCAGGCTGTAATCCAGGAAGTTTTACATTATGGTGGTAATTTGACTCGTCTTAGTCCAGTCAAACTGCTGCAGCAGAATTCCTTAACTGAGTGGTTTATAAGCTACAGAATATTATTTCCCAAGTTTCTGGAGCCTGGGAATTTGGGAGATCAGTGTGCCAGCAGGTCATCTTGAGGGCTGCTGTCTGGTTCACAGACTGTACCTACCAGCTTTGTCCCCACTTGGTGGAAAGGGTGATTGGCTCTGCATCACGAAGAGGCGTGATGCCATTATTCTGGAGGGAGAATTCCAACTTAGGAATTTGGGGAGATAAGCAAACATTCAAACCATGAAATCTCCCTTTACTTTTTTTTTTTTTTTAAAGCCTATTAGAATCTACAATATATAAAGAACTAAAAAACCTTAGACCTCCCCAAATTTATAGACCCAATTAAAAATGGGCATCTGCAATGAATAGACATTTTTCAGATGAAGAAGTACAAATGGCCAAAAATACATGAAAAATGTTTAAACCTGCTGCCCATTTGAAAATGCAATTAAAACCACTGAGATTCCATCTCACTCTAGAAAGAATGTGTATAAGAAATCAAACAATAACAAATGCTGGAGAGGCTACAGGGTAAAAAGAACATTCTTCATTGCTGGTGGAAGTGTAAACTGGTACAACCACTATGGAAATCAGTAGGAAGATTCTTCAAAAACTAAAACTAGAAATTCCATTTGACCCAGGCATTCCCCTACTAGGTATCTTCCTGAAAAAGTTATAGACATCATATAAACATGCATACCCATGTTTATAGCACCACAACTTGTAATAGCTGAATATTGCAAACAACCTAAATGTCCACCAACAGATAAATGGATAAAGAAAATGTATTTATACACAGTGAAGTACTACTCTTCCATAAAGAAGAATAAACTTGAGTCATTTGGTCTTGAGACCATAATGTTAAGTGAAGTAAAACAGACACACAACTTAAATATCTCATTGTTTCTCTTATGTGAGAACCTTGTTATATAAATAAAGTACAAAATAAAGAATAGCAGGGAATAGTGAGGTGGGTCTTTAGCATATGGGAAGGGAACCAAAAAATGGAGGGAGGAGGGAGAGAAAAGAAATTAATAAAGAGGGAGGTGGGTATGGTGGCACACACCTATAATCCCATCATGCAGGAGGCTTAGGCAGGAGGATTGCTGTGAATTTGCTCCCACCCTGAGCTACATAGTGAGTTCAGTCTGAACCACATAGTGAGACTCTCTTTACAAACAAGAAAAAAAAAAAAAACAAGATTGTGAAGTGCTATGTACATGTACCAAGTTCCTATGAGGCAGGTAATCATCATGTACTACAACAGCATATTGAAAAACACATATGGCTAAGAGGTGCTGGGAGGAGGAGGGAGCAACAGGTGAGGAAGTGAAAGAGGAATTGAGAAATGTCATGTACATGCACCCATTCTCCATGATGAATGTAATCATAATGTACTGCAAACATTAATAACTTCATTGTAGCAGAATGCAAAATCAACACCCAAAAATCTATAGTGTTTCTATACAAGAATGAACTCAGTAAGAAAGAAATTAGGAAAACAGTAGCATTCACAATAACAGCAAGAAAAAACATACTAGAGAAATGAGTTTATTAAGTCTTTTGGTTTTTAACAATTTCTCACTCAAACCAAGGACATTGAATTATTTTAAACTTTGATTTTAAAAAATTGAAGTGGATATACTTTAATTAAGAAATTGCACTTTATGACTATCCTTTCATGCTAATAGCATTTATGCCTTACTGCCTCCAATGTGTTGTTTAAAAGTAGAAAAGCCTTTACATTTTTTGGTGTAAATGTAATCTTAAGGAAGACATGAGTGATAGGAAAAATGATGATTTACAGTATAGTATGTTATAAAACTGCTGTTTTGGTTCCATTAAAATTTTATTTATAAAGCTTTTTTAGTAAAATCAATGAAAAGAATTTAAAAATATATGTTAAAAGCCTTGGTTTGAGGTTTAAAATGTAAACTTTTTTTTTCTTTTCTGTAATTCAAATTATACAAACAAAACCAGTGTTTTAACATCATATGTTAATAGTTATTTTAGTAATTCAGAATGGTTGCAAGTTCAAATTGTGTTTTTCAAAGACAGATATTTTCACCAAGATGTATATGGTCTCCTACAAGTGAAACAAATCCATTTAATGAATAAGGGTAGGAGGAAAGGAGTACTCCTTGCTCTTTGATGGAAGTCAGCATTATTCTGATTCCAAAGTCAGAAAGCTATATAGGCGAATTTCTTTAATGAACATAGACATAAACTCGACAAAGAGATACTGCGAAATAGAATGGAACAAATCATCAAAAAGATCATACATCAGGATTAAGTAGGTTTCATCCTAGGAAGATAAGGATGATTCAACATGTGGAAATCAGTAAAAGTAATACAACACATAAATAGAAGCCAGGGCAAAAAGCACATGACCATTTCAACAGATGCAGAAAAAGCCTTTGAAAAAAATGGATCAAAGATCTAAATATTAAAACAGAAACATTAAGTCTATTGGAAGAGAAAGTAGGTAGAAATCTTGACATAGGGGAAGGCAGAGAGTTCATGAACGGAAACCAAACTGCACGTGAAATACTTCAAAGAATCAACAACTGGGAAATCATCTTACTGAAAAGTTTTTACACATCAAAAGAAATCACCAACAGAGTAAACAGAAAACCTATAGATTGGTAAAACATTTTAGCGAACTGTCCCTCAGACAAAAGACTTCTGTCTAGAACATTATAAAGAATTAAAAAATATCAGGTCCCCCGAATTCAAAGACTCAATCCAAAAATGGGCATCTGAGATGAATACACATTTCTCAGATGAAGAAATAATAACAGCAAATAAACATATGAAAAGATGTTCAACATCATTGGTCATTTGAGAAATACAAATTAAAAGAACACTGAGGTTCCATCTCACCCCAGAAAGAATGGCTGTCATCAAGAAAACAATAACAAATGCTGGAGAGGCTGTGGGAAAAAGGAACCCTTCTCCACTGCTGGTGGGAGTGTAGATTGGTGAAACCACTGTGAAAATCAGTGAGGAAATTCCTCACAAAAGTAAGGAGTAGAAGTCCCACTTAGCTATTCCCCTTCTGGGTATTTTCCCAGAAGAATTGAAAACATCATAGCACTGAGAGATATGTTCACCCACATTTATAGCAGCACAATTTGTCGTAGCTAAATCTTGCAAACAACCCAACTGCCCCTCAACTGTGGAATGGATAAAAAAGATGTA